CGTTGTGGATAAAGCCTTTCGTATAAACAGGTATTGGCCCAAAACACCTCTGGGGTGGAACGCGACAGCTAACCGATTCACATATGACAACCATCATCCCCTCAAATTTTTTCGGTGGTACTTCACGATATTCGTTTTATTTACTGCAGTCACCACAGCTAACTGTGGTTACGTGATATACGGTCATTTTGTCAATCCACGACCACGCCTTAATCTTGGTCATGTTGCCATGTACATCCTCGTACTCTTGACAATGACGCTGGTGACGGTGCTAACCATCTTCATTTTGTCCTACGGTGACGAAATCGTTAATCTCATAAACAAGCAACTGAAAATTTATGAAGAGGTGAATGTACTTGAAAATAAAAAAACAAATGCTTTCAAAGATAAACGAAAGAAACCTGGACTAATGGGAATGTTTAATCAAGTATGTGTCATATTTGGTATCCTGAGTATCCGTTTGCCCTCTGGAAGATTGGATATTTCAGGCAAGTTCTTTTTGGATAGATAAAACTGATTAGTTTCTAGTAGATAAGCTTACTAATAGCAGAACCATTTTCTAAACAGGAATTGTATACCTGATCAGCTTCATTGCAGTTACGACCACCTGTTACGCAATGGGACCTGTTTCTGTATTGATTCGCTTGGATGTGTTTCAATTTGTCATATCGGATATATTTGATGCAATAGGAATTCTTGAAGATGAAATTATACCAAAGATATTCAGTCTGTCTATGAGGTTGCTGATCGTCCTGGTTTTCTTTGTAGAAGTGCAGAGGATGCTCCCAATGCTTGTGTATTTTCTCGTAATTCCGGCACATGCTGCCATCAGGTGTATCAAAATTTTGTTGTCGCACGCCAAGGAAGTTGGGTAAGTTAATTATATGTAAATTATCTGATTATTTATCATATTTCTAAAAGTTTTCCAGGAGAACTGACTCCAAAAACTTGACCCTGGACTTGATCCATAACTACAAAAAGTTACAAATAATGATCAACATGGGCTATGGTATCACAGCATCAGGTATCTTTGTCCTGATGACCATAGGATTACAGTTATCCGCTGGATTTAATTTTACAACGATAAGGTTTAACGGATCTAGCATGAATCCCATATTCTACGCGATATTTCCATTCTGCGCTACAATGACAATGTTTATGATACAAATTCTGCTACCCGTTGGGGTAGGCATAAATACGACATCTGTTGAGTCCCTGGCCTTAATGAAGGTTGCAGCTGCTAAGGGGGATTGCAGGAAGAACAAATATGTCTGGAAGACTTTAGGGGCAATGCGAGAGATGAAAATGTATGCAGGAGTTTTCCACACTTATTTCTTCAATTTGGATAAAACGGTAATGAGGACGTATATAAGCTCAATTGTGGATTGGACGATTAATCTGTTGCTGACGTTTTCTGCGTCGTCACTGTCGCATATGTAATAAAGGTAGGATCAGCATAGATGCACACTACCTTTTTAACATTAATCTGTATTATTAATATGCCTAATTAATTAATAAATGCAATATTCACCAGATAAGGAATTTAAGCAACGAATATTTAATATTTATATTATAAACAAAAAGTCTATACACTAAGGTTGTAGCCCTAGCGAAATTAATAAAATTAATTTCTTCGTTAAAAGTTTGGACGTACAAATTTATATGCAAAAGTTATCTCTTACAATGCAATGGTGTGAAATGCAACTGTCCGAATTGCCTGAAATTTTGGAATTATGTAGTCCAAGTCAATAAAACTAACGTGTGTTGAGGCAGTTTATGCGATGGTTCGAATTCGTCAAAATATTTCAGGTCAAAGTTGAAAAACGGGCGATTTTTACCAAGCGTAGGAAACAATCAACACGTCCATGCATTTCAAAGGGGGAAAAATCCCCGGTTTAAACAAACCTTTAATGTTTTTTAACAGATCACAGTCACTTTTTCGAAAATTATGAAAGAACAAAAATGTCTTATTTTTCGATTTTCTACCAGAAAAAAATCACCACCAGGCAAATTTCAAAAGTTTTTTTAGCATATATTGTGAACCATATGCTGTCCAGAGACCCGAGGACACCTTCCTGGAACAGGTTATATTTCTAATATTTCTAATATTTCTAATATTTCTAACGTTACAACGGTTTATTTTTGTTGAGTTTTTCAAGTCAGGCGAAGAAAATAATATCTGACAAGCAGAAGTGCGCACTACGAAGAGACTGGCGCACTCTAGCGTTAACTTCAAGTTTTCCTAGTTGTTCCTTTAACACCGTACGGTGTCAATTCTTTACCGGATTTTCAATAAATTTCGCCATTGCACAGTGGGCCAGCTCTCATAAATTTTGGCGAAAAATACAATTAAGCCTAGTACAATTAGAAATCAGTTAATTAGCTATCCGAAACCCAATTATGTATATGACGTAACAAATGTAATAGCCGAGTTCGATGGTGGGGTCAATCGGACCACCCCCACTATCGCCGGGGGGTGCGGTAAAACTTTTTTTTTTCCAAGTAATTATTTATTTCCACACGGATTGTACCACATGATCGACTGAATCGGAAACAAATTATTTCACCTGCTTGCCACACCCCCTAACGCCAGGGGGTGTGGTTATATCGAAAACACCGAAACGGATACAATTTTTGCTATAATATAAATTTCTCAATTCGGTTTTCACCATATGGTGCAGTAAATTAATACCGAGGTCAGGACCACTCCCCCTAGGCTTTAGTGCGTGTGTTCGGGGCAGAGTGAGATTTTTAGCGAAATTGAGTGTGTATATTATATTTTTTGTTTGAAATGCAGTGGGAAATGACGTGTTATGGCTCTGTCATGCGCGTGGCGCATGACAGAGTGTGGGACAGAGTGTGGGACAGAGTTTGAGAACAGGCATGGGTACGCGATGCATAAGAGGAAGGATTGCGGTGGGTTAGTGGAGGGAGAGGGGCAGCTTCCTAGTATTGAACTTAAGGCGGAGAATGAATGACTGGGGCGAGGACAAGTGGCCGAGAAAGCGGTGGGAACATGTGGGGACGTTAATATTGGAGGATAGGAGGGGACTTGACTATTATTACCTGGGCAGATTATTAAGGCGACATCAAAATACCGGTGGGACGTACACACGCTTCCGCGGCCACTGGTCATGACGATTGGGGTTTAAATTTAATGCACCGCAAAATTAGATGAAATTTGCCACATATTTTGGCCTAATTCGCCAGAGGATGAAATTTTTCCAACTTTAGCCTTTTCACCCACATATTAAGATTGTGGTTGCCACAAATTTAGATGTGGTGCCACTACATATTTTATGACGTTAGATATGGGTATAGGACTACAAAAATATAATATTATTTGCAATAATGCGATTTGTTTATTTATAATCTTTCATGCCGATTTTAAAATACTGAAATTCATTACCAATGAGCGTTTTTTTAGCTTTAGCAACTCTACCCCTTTTGCGCTTTTCACCCAATGGAATTGTTTTGGCTTCCGGGCGAACATCATAAAGCGCATTCTGAATCGCTAAACCGGTGATTTGCTTACAAACATGTTCTTTTAAATAAACGGGACATGAACGTGTAGAATTAATCCATGGATTGGTGTGGAATTTAGCCATCCACAATCTTGTAGCGCTGGCCTCGTAGGGATCGACAGTTATTCAAAATCTGTTCGTATTCATTCGCAAGTACTTTTTTACATCGTCCTCTTTCAAAGACTTGCAGCAGAGGCAAAATAATGCCTAACATTGGGTTCATCTTCAGATGTCTTTGTACCTGGTATGTTTGTAAGATTTATTCTAATTGAAAGCATCGGTCTCAAGTTTGAGGGAGATAGTTGAGACTTCTGCAAATATTTTGTAGTTTTCGTGTGTAGGACCCCCTCTTCAGTAGAATATTTGGCGTGATAAATCGATTGTCTTTCTTCTTTTTAAATAAGCCTCGGCCTCAGTTTTGGGAAAATTCTCCCCACGAACAGTTAACTTAGTTCTCATGCCCACTCTAGTAAACGATAAATGTACAAGTACCTCCATATACGAAATGATAATGAAATTTGCATGATTCTTTTCAGATTATTGTAATTTATATTGTAATTTTATACCCATATCTAACGTCATAAAATATGTAGTGGCACCACATCTAAATTTGTGGCAACCACAATCTTAATATGTGGGTGAAAAGGCTAAAGTTGGAAAAATTTCATCCTGCTGCGAATTCGGCCAAAATATGTGCAAATTTCATCTAATTTTGCGGTGCATTAAATTTAAACCTGACGATTGGGAGGGAATGGAGCTTAAAGGGGAAAAGTTTGCTGGAGACATAATGAAATTAGATTAATTAGTTTTTTATTGCATTAAAATAAATACAGTTTTTAAGAATTTGGCAATCGACGCAGATATAATGTGCAGATATGTATGTATGTATAATGTGCAAAATATAGTTTCTTTGATACAAATTATTATAAAGAGGTGGAATTTTAAAAATTAGATTCTAGCATTTAAATAAATACAATAAATTTTATAAATTTGACCCATATCACGATTATCCTCTCTACTAATTACTCCTTGGATCTACTTATTCAACCCTGCACTTTTCGGATTATCATGTGTTTTCACATATATAAAACAGAGCGCTTTCTTATTCTCATATTCCTAGTCTTTCTGACCTTAATTAAAACAATGACCTTTTGTGGTGTAAACTTGTAAATAATGTTTTTTTATGTGACAGCCTCCTCCTCCCCCGGTTTCCTTAAGGAGTTAATAAAATCCTTATTTTGACTTCAAACGCCTTAACTCGTCTCCAACCAGGATTTACCGGAATTTACGTATGTAAACAATAATTATGCAAGGAATAATGCATTCATTTTGTGACAAAAACACTACATAAACAGTGCAAAATTTAAATCTATGTGATTAAAAAAATGCGGTTTTATCTGTGTGCATGTGCTTCATGACGATTATAGTTCAGGAATTGGTTGCCGAATAAAAAATAAACTAGAACTGAGAAGGGACTACAAAATGGAAAAACTTTTTATTATCAACCACTTGAAAATTAAATAAGACTTAAAAAAATTAGACACGCAAAAAAGTTATAAAAACACAAAAATCCAGCAAAAAAATAATACGTAGACATTTTGCACTTTGGATGAGAAAATTGAATTAGATGAGGTCGGCTCGTGCACGAATTACTCAATTTTTCTTCTTCCCTTCGCCGGCGACGACTTGGTTCCTTTGTACTTGGCCATTTTCTGAAAAAGGTGAGAATTTTAGATTTTTAAAATTCAAACTATCATAATTTACATATATTTTCAATAAAGAAAATTTTACCTCCTGGTACTCAAGCTTTGCAGCGGCGGCAGTTTTTTCGTACTTTTTCTTGGAGGCGGCGTCAATCGAGGCCCACCGTTTGCCGAGTTCCTTCCCCATTTCGCCTAAACTAAGGCCGGGATTTTCTTTGCGAATCTTGGGTCGCATTTCGCCAGAAAAGAGGAAAAAAGCGCTGAGGGGTCGCTTTGGTGCGTCGGGGTCGGTATTTTTACCCATTTTCCACTACTAAATTGTTTGACGAGGTATTAATTAATTATTTTGCAATTAATTATTAATTTCGTGAGAGAATCCGACTGAGAGTGGTGTCGAGAAGAGAGGGAAATGACGAGGGAGACGTGTTTTGTTTGTTGGCCGTTGGATTATATATTTTGGCTTGTGGTGGACACGGTGGTGGTGGTGGCTCAGGTAAACTGCCTTTCTTTGTCTGCTGGACTTGTAGAGGACATGCGGATGGATCATGAATTTGTGTACGTGTGCATTGCATGCAATAATTTACATTTTTTTAGGATTTTATTAAGGATTCGCTACAAATCGGATATTATGTATATATGTACATGATAATAAATGAAATTTGTAGGTGAATATATCCTTTTTAGAGCCATCCGACCGTCAGTTACATACATGCATACGTATTTATATGCATGAGTGCATACCTTTCCTTCGAGAAGTGTCTGCATTCTGCCCTATCCGAATAATCTACTCGACAACTTCTTACATATGTAGTCAGTGTGTCCGCAATATCAACCAATATCGGAATTATATAAAAACACCTTCTGTAGAACGCCCGAGTAATCAGTGATACGATTACATACGCATATATAACATTAGGACTGTATATGTATGAAATGTAGATATGCATGTACATAAAATAAATTTAAAAAATCATTTCTTTGTTTTTAACCACTTTATTCACAAATCTGTGACAATTGATAATATTTATCTATATACGGTTGAGGACCACTAAAAATGACAATATAATCAGGATCCCCGCATTCCTCAACCCATCCGATGATGGTATAGATGTTTTGCTGCTTATAATTGGAGTAGTGACAGGATCATCGTCCCATCGTTCTGTGGTTCCTGTTCCTGTAATCATCGTGGCATTTTCTGTGGTAATCGAAATTCCGGTCTGTGTAAATGCTTTCGTCATCGTACTGGTTTCAGGGAACAAAGTGGTAGTCGGGGTGGGATGGGGTTGAAGGGTGACAAGCTCGGAGTCTCTATGACAAAAAATTAAATGCTGAATAAATAAATTTGAACACGAACTACAACTATTTCTCGATTTTATTTTGAAAAAAATACTTGTAAAATTTTTCAATAAAATACGATAATACGAAATAAATTCACTTCTCCAAAATACAGGAATGCACGAGGGACGGAGTACTATCAACAGAGATGCAGCTTTGCCTGAAAATTTCCTGTTTTTCTTGGTAACTTTGATAAAATGTGATTAGATATCCCCACGTCTTAATTCTGGCGAGGAATGGGGCTGCATGTTTTAAGGGGTGGATAAGAGCCTTATCCTGTCGCTGTTTTGTGGCATCTCGACAATCCAATTTCCCGACCACGCCCCGAATTCTTGGCGCACACTGTTCTCCACGGGTGGGGCGAGAATGCGCAAATCGTCCAATTGGGACGCACCCAATCCGATTTGGATTGTAAAGTTGATAGGGAATTGCTCCAGGTAAAAGTTGTCAATCTGGAAAACAGGTAAATTTGCACATATTCTTATTTCGTGATGAATATGCATACTTTTGGCAAAAACTCACAATGCAATAGTAATTACGGACATGGTGATTTTGAATAATTTGTTGCCCAGCTGGGTATCCCGTTCCGCTGCAAGGTTTGCATACAGATAATGACCCAAATGGAAAATATGTTCTGCTTCATGCATGTCTGAGTCAGTGCGAGATAACGGTTATCAATTAGTTGCGTGATTGAAGCAAATCCGGGGAGTGTCATTATTTGCAGTAACGTTTTGAGTAAGTATGTAATACATACTATGTATGATAAGGTCTTGTGACCAAGGTGGTAGTTAGGGATCCCAATCCCGGACGATTTTTTAAATCCCGGGAATCGGGATTCCCGGTTTTAGCCCTGAAAAATCCCGGGAATTTTTCCCGAAATTGAAATATTACCGTATAATATGAAATGGGTAAATTTGGGTTACACAAAGAGGTCTTTATGGACAAGACAACATGTGTACATATGCATGTACATATATGCGTACTTAATACGTTCATATGTACATGCGGGTATGAAATACCTATGGACCTGTCACTACATCCTGTCCTGTGTAGATACACTCTTAGAAACTTCGTATTTAAAAAATTAACGGTTTTTTATTAAACAGTTGTACCACCCAGGTATAGATTCGGTAATGGAATAATACTATGTGGTAATCATTTTATTACTAGGTGGTATTAAATTTTGTAGCATATGGTAATAATTTTTTTAATTAACCAAATCATTACCATGGTAGTAAAGTCACATATCAATACCATGTTTACTGATTTTCTTAAGAGTGTACATATGTGTTTTGGCATTCTATGCATATAGATTATTGAATAGGCTAGTTGACAAATAACATACTCTACACTAAGCAAAGTTTTATTATATTGTCTATGGAACAATTTTAGTGTATTGTGGTAGCCCCATTTTTCGTTGTCCATCCTGAGGAGATGATTGGAAAAATATTAATCATTTCACTCCAGAAAACTTCAATAATTAATCAAGCGTTTCGGCAGCATTATAACCTGAATGTATGTACTGATGTTTATTATTTGGCTCAGAGTGCGAGCCGTTCGTCCAAAACCACAATTTGACATAGGATTTGACATTTGTGATAAATCTTGAGTGTGATAAATCTTGACTCATAGATCATTTGAGTATTTCCTGTTAATCGGGGTTCAAATTGATCTCTAAATTCTGTATAAATTAAATGAATGTGTGACAATAAATGACTATGGTGAAAATTTTAAAAGAAGAAACCAATTCTTGCTGAAATGTGAATTGGCCGATTTGCCAAAACTGGTTATGGAAAAACTTCAAAACCCTGCCGATTATCCAATTTTCAACCGATTTTCGATTTTCTAAATGTTTCGGAAACCTCTGACCGTGGGGCAAATTATATATTCCCAAATTTTGAAAATTTTGACCCCACCCACTCTAATTCAGGTCACAAGGTCATAAAAACGAGGTAAATATTTATGTACTCCCAGGCGACGCCAAAAAATATTTTGATTACACAACTGCCACTTATTGTCTAGGTTACCCGTTGGCCGTCTAGGTCATTGCAAAAACTTTCAAGACCACACCCCCAGTGGGTGTGGCTTTCTGCGCTTTCGACCTGTTTTTGATAAAGTGGGTCTTGTGACATATCATTTTTGTCAGAAAAGTCAGGGCACTCTATTCGAGATATAAAAGTTTAAAAAACCACTCCCCCAGTGGGTGTGGCCCTCTGCGTCTTTTCGATTTTATCCAAAACATGGGTTGTAACACATCATTTTTCTCAGTTCTACGAGGGGATCATCATTGAATAATTATAATTTGAAACCACACCCCCAGTGGGCGTGGTCATTTTTGACTTTTCGAACTAAATTAAACCATGTCATGTGATATATCATTTTTCTAATATCGATGGGAGGATCTCAACCGAATTATTGAAATTTAGGAACCTCATCCCCAGTGGGTGTGGTTAATAGCGAATTTTCGAATTTTCCTAAGAGCTGGGTTGTGATAGATCATTTTTCTTAGACATTAGTAATTACTAACAAGTAATTAGAAACTAGAGACCACACCTCCTGTGGGTGTAGTTGATTTGAGGACCAATTTGAGGACCTCCCCCCTGAGGGTGGTCTTTAAATTTGAAATTGGTTGGTTTAGCGGATCTAAACTCAGTTTAGATCCGCTCATCCAGCTGAGAAAAGTGTTATATTACATGACATGGTCTTGATTAAATCGAAAATTTGCTATCAACTACACCCACTGGGGGTGTGGTTTTTAATTTCCAATTACTTATACTGGAGCACCTCGTCCAGCTAATAAAAATGATCTATCACAACCCATCTGTTGTAAGATAGAAAATTCGATATTAATCACACATGATATGGTTTAATTTAGTTCGAAAAGTCAAAAATGACCACGCCCACTGAGGGTGTGGTTTCAAATTATAATTATTCAATGATGATCCCTTCGTAGAACGGAGAAAAATGATGTGTTGCAACCCATGTTTTGGATAAAATCGAAAAGACGCAGAGGGTCACACCCACTGGGGGTGTGGTTTAAATTTTCTAATACATTAATCTGGATCTCCCAGTCGAGCTCAGCAAAATGACATATCACATGACATGGTTTCGATTAACTTGGAAATGCGCCGAGACCACGCCCACTGAGGGGTGTGGTCGCAAAATTTTTCTTATTCAGTCGTAATCTCCTCGCCAAGCTGAGAAAAATGATATGTCACACGACCCACTTTCTCTAAAACTAGCCAAAAGCGCCGAAAGCCACACCCAGTGGGGGAGTGGTTTTTTAAACTTTTATATCTCGAATAGAGTGCCCTGACTTTTCTGACAAAAATGATATGTCACAAGACCCACTTTATCAAAAACTGGTCGAAAGCGCAGAAAGCCACACCCACTGGGGGTGTGGTCTTGAAAGTTGTCTAGGTAACCTAGACAATAAGTGGCAGTTGTGTAATCAAAATATTTTTTGGCGTCGCCTGGGAGTACATAAATATTTACCTCGTTTTTATGACCTTGTGACCTGAATTAGAGTGGGTGGGGTCAAAATTTTAAAAATTTGGGAATATATAATTTGCCCCACGGTGAGAGGTTTCCGAAACATTTAGAAAATCGAAAATCGGTTGAAAATTGGATAATTGGCAGGGTTTTGAAGTTTTTCCATAACGAGCTTTGGCTAATCGGCCAATTCACCTCTCAGCAAAGCTAGGATAGTAAAGGTTTCTTCTTTTAAAATTTCAACCATACTACTATTTAAAAATTCACATGTAAATCACTTGGTTCTAAAAGCATTTTGGCCCCAAATTGATCGAATACAATTTTAAATTCATATTCACGTATAATTTTGCCGAGGATAATGTTTGTTCTTTGCTCCTACAAGTTAGAATCGTCTGACGTTGAAAAGAGGAAACTCCATTTTATTTTAACTATTTTCTTAGTCGATTGAAAAATTCACATAGGTATGGGTTAGAAAAATTTGTCTACCAATGTCGTTAAAAATTTTGATTTCGGAGATTACTGAAAATTTTGACTCTCCTTGTTCATTTAAACTTTTGTTTTCCAATAATATAATCGAAAAATTATATAAAACCGCCAATAAAAGTCAAATATCATTAATTTAAAATTCTGAACGATAAAATAGAATATACATGTTTGTATGGTCGGGGACCACCCCCTGATGGCACAGGAGAAGAAGAATATTGTTGAATTTTGGTTTCGCAAGTATACAGCTAATCCAACTGATGATACATGGTAGCAGCACCCCAATAACATGATATTACGTATGTACGTAACATGTCTGTGTATTAACTATTAACTAACACCAAATTATTCCTGTACTAAATAATAAGATAGAGTTACATTCATGTATGTATATCAAACTTACATATGTATGAACCAAATATATGCATAATTCTGTACCAAACTGATTGTACCAAATTGACGCCTTGCCAAAACCAAATAATTTCACTATTATGTATAAATTATAAATTGTTTTAATCAACCGCAAAGTATGCCATCCAGCACTATGTATACTGTTTACGGATGGTCTATACATATGAAAGTGTATGAATTATTGCGTTAAAAAAGGTAAATGTACATATATTCTTAGTTTAAACTAAATGAAATAAATCTTACCTGTAAAATTCATAAAGTGTATACATAAGTGCATTAAATTGTTTTAATTACACGATTACCAGTATGGATTACCGAGCGAATAGATAAGTTTATTACGTCAAGTCAGCCGTCATTTTATTATTGCAATGAACTTTTGGCTGCTAACAATTGAATGATTGGTCTCAACCCAATGGCACAATGGGGAGATAACGAACCGAAAATTAAGCCGGATTCGTCAATTGGACACAAATCCTGCCCGGATTAATTTGTCAAAGATGAGTTAATTGAAAAAGTTGAATTTCTGGTGTATAGAAAGCATGAGTAAGAACACTCCGTCGGAATTTGAACACGCGGACAGGTTTCCAAGAATGAGTGATGATGATTATCTAATTAAGTAGCGCAAGCTACTTTATGCGATCGGTTAGTTAGTCTGTCTGTCTGTCTGTCTGTCAACACTATAACTCGAGAACGCATCAAGATAATCGAAATCGGTTTGCGGCATCATACATATGACCCCAGGGGGAGGATCCCGTAAACTTTTGTACCACACCCCCTCGGCGCCAGGGGGTGTGGTCGCGGTGTGATCGGGGCGAAATGAGATTTATAGCGCAAATTAATCTATTGATGAAATCCAGTTAAATTAAGTGCCTTAGAGTTAAGCAAAAATATATAAAACATGTATGATGCATGATTCTTCTGAGAGGTTCGACATAAGTGAGGAGACCTCAATTATTAGCTCACCCTGCGTAGTACGGGAGCTATTGAATTCCTCTTGTCCGTCTGTCCGTCCGTCCGTCTGTCTGTCTGTCTGTCTGTGTGTTAACGAGTCTTTTGCATCAATTGATGCTAATTAATTTGCCCCATGTGCAAATTTTAGCAAATTAGTAGCACCATTGGTCTCGAACAGTCGGCAACACAAAATGGTGCCAAACAATTGAGAAACTAGATGCAAAACACACCAAATGTGCATAAGAACCAAAAAAAATAACTAGAATTTTTTACTTCGAATTTGTCACGATTTTATGTCAAAATTATGAATTCATTTTCCTCGTTTATTTTCCACCATTGGCGAAAAATTATATCACAATTATGTATATCTTGTGTCCGCCTATTCTGCACCAGTAATGCAAAATTATGCCAAAATTGCGTATCTATTTTATCTGCCAATTCTGCACCATTGGTGCAAAATTATGCTAAAATCATTGTTACAGGGTGAGCTACTTCTACCGTTACAACGGTTTATTCATTTCGTAGTAATTGAATTAATGTGAACAGGTACATATGTGTGAATCAAGCGTCGTCATGATATGTATATAATGCATAATCCACATAAACAAATAATTCATACTCATAATAAGATTTTAGGTACGTTTATCGTTTGTGCGTCACACTGGAAGAATATTTTGGACTTGGACCAACAGGATGACAACGTTATTATGTATGCGCAACTTTATATAATATCAAATGGATACTTTGACACGGTAAGTGTAGATTTGATGGATGATTACCTATTAAGTCGGGGAGAGGATTATAATAATTAATTGATCAACGTAATCCCCATCGTACATAGATGGATTAGGGAATTATCCATGGAATTGTTGAAGTTAGTGATAGCAGCACGAGATGAAATTGATGCATCTGATTCTTGCACAATTATAAAAAAGTTGGAATATATAGACAGGTTTGGTCTGGTTTGGTCAGTTAAGAATTTTCTTTCGATCCCGCACCTTGTGTATGTATCGTGGTCCACGTTTAGTTGAATAAAATGGGGCAATTTAGTACAGCAATATATTTCCTGTTGGTATTAGCTACTACTTCAGTGCATTCTCAACAGAAGCAATTTGTCCAGTTTTTTGCGTCTGAAGGATGTGCTGGAGATACTGCGGTTGAGCATACAGCGTCAGGTTACCAAGTTGTTGGACCGGATGCAATATATGCGTCGTATAAAGTTTATGGGTTGTAAGCATGTTTCTACTAAAAATAAATGATGATTGCAATAAATTTGGATACAACTACGGATCGGAATTGTTTGTTTTGTTGAATTTTTGTGTTTGGTTTTGTTTAAACAAAACAAAACAAAACGAAACAAAATATTTACAATAATTCGAAATAAAAACGTTATTAGAAATCCGGCGGTGACGGCGTGTGTCCATTCGACAAATTGAAAGTAGCGCTTAAATTTTCTCAATTTACCCCAAAACAATGATATCTTTATGTAATTTGTTTCAATTATTTTGTTTTGTTTATGTGTTGAAACAAACTTGAATCAAGACAAAGTAAAACAAAATAAAACAAAACAAGCATTGTGATCCCAAAATTTGTATGTAGAACTTGAATATTTAATTTGCAGGTGGCGAGTACACCTATGCCCAGGGGGTTGTTCCCCACCCTTTCCTTCCCCAATCCTTCATAACTCAATTAATGGGGTTTGCATAGATCAGGAATTCCCTAGCGAGAGTATTATTCAATTGACCAGGTTTGGAGATGAGGATCAAACGGGAAAATCTATTTCATTCTTCACTTCCTCGGAACTAACTGGCGACGAAAGCGCTTATACCGGGGATCTTTCAGGGATTAACAGAAACTATAATTCATACTTTTTCACTGGAACAACTAAATGGATGCTCTTTGAAGGAGCCAATTTCGATGGAACATCCAAATGTGTTTCACCAACCGAGGATGTAGCAACAAATGGGTTTGGAGCAACATATGTAGCAGACGAAGGTGGAATGTTGGGCAGTATTCGAGAGGGTTGTGAGGAGCAGTCAACTGCCACAACGACACTGGCAACAACAACGCCACCTACCACAACAATTCCAGCAGCTACAACCATAGGTACAACCACGACAGGCGAACCAATTCCACCGCAATATGTCAGGCTTTTTGCTGACGAGAACTGCAAGGGAACCTTTGTCGAACTTACTAGTTCAGGAGCACCATCGTTTCCGACGGCCTATACGTCCTTCGAAGCATTTGGACTGTAACTTGAAACAATTAAACTCAATACGAATACTCTCCTTAACTTCTTATAATTTTTAGATGGCGCCTCCATCCTTGTGTCGGTGTTGATTGCACCAATACACCAATTCAAGCACCCACTCTTGGTCACAGCCCTACTTGTGTGAATCGATTATTTCCTGCAAACAATATGATTGCCATGAGTCGATTTGGCGATCCAGAGCAACTTAGAAAATCCATTGCGTTCTACTTAACGTCTGAGTTGGGCGGGACACCAGTCATATACACTCAAGACACAGAAGTCGCAGATGTCGAGTATGGATCTTACTATTTTAATGGAGACCATAGCTGGACCATTTTCGAAGAGATTGATTACCAGGGCCACTCAGTCTGTGTTACACCAAACTCAGAGGTCAGCACTCGCGGTTATGGAGTGACGTACGAAGCTAATGCCGTTGGTAGAATAGGCAGTATTCGAGAAGGATGTGAATCGACCACGGGATCCACGCCGACTACGGTGCTCACAACAACCGCGATACAAACGACAGCGACTCCTATAGTAAATCAGAATGTAATTCTATATACTAATGAGGGATGTCAAGGAGATTCAGTACCTTTGACGGGGTCTGGTGGACCATCATTTCCAATGAGCTATTCCTCGTTTGCCACATTTGGGCTGTAATTCGCGAATTTATTTTATTGAAACTAATACAAATTGGTGACTCACTTTAATTTATTTAGCTGGCGACTGTATTCCTGCCCCGGTGCAGATTGTTCCGCAGTTACAGCCCCGGCACCGACGTATGCATATGACACTGTCTGCGTTGATCGCTCCTTCCCCGCCGGAACCATGATTGCCGTTTTAAGATATGGGGACGCACAACAAACATCTAAAGCCATAACATTCTACTCCAGCCCAGAATTAAGTGGCACTAGTATCACCATACGAGAAGATAACGCAAATGTGAATAATTTTGATTACGGATCCTATTTCCATACTGGCCGTCATAGTTGGACTGTTTTCGAGGGTCCAAACTATACTGGAGCGTCTAGATGTCTAGTTCCAGAGCAAATGGTTGATAACAGAGGATATGGAGTAAATTATGTTGAGAATGAGGTAGGAATTGTTGGCAGTATTCGAGAAGGTTGCAGTCTCGCGACTGGATCGACGCCCGCAGTAACTACAACAATCCCAACAACAACCCCCACACCAGCTACAACGGCAACCAGACCAACTACCACAACCCCCAAACCAACTACCACAACCCCCATACCAATACCTTCAACTACGTCACCGACGACAACAATAGTCACTACATCGACACCACCAGCATCCTCTTCAACTACGACAACAACCGAAACAACAACCACTACAACTGAGCCTACAACAATTTCGTCTAACACGACAACTACTAATGCGACCATCCCTATTTCAACTTCAACGGTGCGGACAACCCCAAGAACTTCCCTTACAACAACTCATCTATCCACGACAGTTGAAGCGTCGACACCTGACGGTGCAGCATTTTACGTTGCCAATGTCTGGTTGGTTTTATTATGTTTGACATTGTATCTGTAAAATTTTATAAAATTATGTAGTTCATTGAGTTGACCTGCAGATTAAACTATTAATGGTGAATCCTTGCGCGAAATTTATTTAGACAGAGAAATTAATTAACATACAACAAATTAACTTTTATCGAAGAACAATGCGTTTCCAAACTTGTGATCAATATGATACATACTTCGTTGAATTACATGCAATAGTTTCTAGAAAAGTATTTTTTTATGATATGCTGCTTTTTGGCTGTGATACTTTTACGTCTATTATTTTTTTAACCATAGTGTTTGGTCACCTTTTTACTTTGAAATATAAAAATACATATATGGTGGTCTGGCATCGGTCCTTAAATGCTGCCACATCAAAAATAAACTACCCCCCTGGAAAATTTTACAGAAGTGGAAAACATGGTTCGCGAGTACCTCATTTTGAATATCCGTTTTCTACGTAAAATGGGCTACACAGAACGAAAAAGTTGGGCGAATAACTTAACTAAATGCGCAGTTATTTCCTACCGCGCGGAGTCTATCTCGGGAGGCGAAATACCTTGCAACTACGGAAACAAGCGACACTACCGTAGTGGAAATGAAAGTTTATGCTGTCATTCATATAGTTGTCACCAGATGCTGACAAAGTATGCCGCAAAATTCAAAACTGCTACTGTTTGGAAATAGCAATACTAACGTTACCAATGACAGGAAATAATTTCAAGATAGGTTCGCTTGTTTCCGTCCTTGTAGGTCCTACACGGCCAAGGTAATTTAAAGCGTGTAATTTTGAATGCAACAACATTATTAAGTAGCGCAAGCTACTTTATGCGATCGGTTAGTTAGTCCGTCTGTCAGTCTGTCCGTCCGTCTGTCAACACTATAACTCGAGAACGCATCAAGATAATCGAAATCCGTTTGCGGCATCATACATATAACCCCAGGGGGAGCATCCCGTAAACTTTTGTACCACACCCCCTGGGCGCCAGGGGGGTGGTCGCCATGTGATCGGGGCAAAATGAGATTTATAGCGCAAATTAATCTACGGATGAAATCCAGTTAAATTACGTGTATCTGAGTTGTGCCACACCCCCTCGGCGTCAGGAGGTGTGGCGGCGGTGTCACAATTTGGGCAGAGCATGTTTTTCGGTGTGGTCGACACGTCTATATGGCGACTAAGATCACGACCCAGCATTCTCAGCATTTTTGCGCTACTTATGTATCGTGCTTTGCCGCACTTTATTTAAAGTGTGGTTAATAGATAGGTACAAATTTCATATAATTTCCTAGTTCGAAACTAGTAGTTTGCAGTTTGGAAACCGAATTTAATACTTACTTTTAATAATAATTTTCTCCCCGTCCAGTTAATGAGTTGAATAATTACTAATTGAAGAAATCCGTTAATCAGTGTATTAATTATTTTGATGAATAACGCGAAGACATCTCTTCGCGTACATCATTTCAAAAAATCCTACGTGTGTTTTGGCATAGGTTGGAATCATTTGAATTTTCGTTTTTTTGGCCGCGGTGAACATGCCTGGGAAGATAGATACATATATGTATGTATTTAATAAATACACATTCTTTGGTATGTAAATACTATGCATTTACATGCCCAAGCCCAAGCATGTTCGTTTCCTGACTTGGAATGTAGATAGACTAAACGAGTAAAGGTTAATCTAAGCGTTAATTATTAATTGAGATACTCCTGGATAATATAAAGTGTGCTTAAAGGAGTAATTTACCATCGAGAAAAATCAGTCAAATTACAAATATTGTAAAGTTAGGAAAGTTTAACACCGAGTTTAACTAACAAGGGACACTCACGACCTGTCGTTCGTGTCCAGGGTACCCACTATGCTTTTTAGAATCTACTAGGACCCTAAATGAAGGATCCATTCTTATTTCCGTGTAAAACTCATATTTGGCGCCGTGGCGTGGCGCCAAATTCGCCAAATTTGTAGGTTTTTATTTTTAAAACCCTATAACTTTTGAAATCCTGGACCGATTTTCAAAAAAAACTCCCTAAAATCATGAAAAAGAGTTCAACTTTCGTATGCCATCAAGTTTTTCAAAATATTGATTGTTTCAATTTTTGCCAAAATTTTGAGATTTTCTTACACCTGGGAATTAGGCGAAAAAATCTTTAAAATGTCTCAAAAATAAAATTTTTTAATGTTTTATTTATTTCTTCAAATTTTTGACCTTTGTGATCATTTTAAGCCCAGAATTTTGAAAATCCCCCGGAAACTAGAAAAGTTATGGAGGTTTGAAATTGGTCGAAAACGCAGATTTTTAAGTTTGGCGCCACGCCATGGCGCCAAATATGCGATTAACACGGAAACATGAATGGATCCTTCGTCTAGGGTCCTAGTAGATTCTGAAAAACATAGTGGGTACCCTGGACACGATAAGTAGTCGGGGACCTTCCCTTGTAAGATTTTGGGTCGCCGTACCAAATCCTGGAAGCTGGATGGAAAAAAAGTCCCCACTTCTAAAATCATACCTGTTCACATTTATTCAATGAGTACTAAATGAATGAATAATTCATTCGATGATATTTATTTTATTCGTTAGTTTTATGTTTTATTCTTAATAAATGGGTTGAATAAGGAATCTCAACGAATAATGAAGATTGCATTCTTAAATGTATGAAGGAAAAGATTTTGAACAGTACATACCTATGTCTAACACTGGATTGCATTTATGCTGCAAAATAATTATGAAATGATTAGTGTTGAAAATCAAAGTTTTACCGTATAGCATATTATTCGCCGATATAAAACTACCACTGACCATGATAACTGAAAGACTGACTTTTTAGTAAAATTTGATAGAGTTGTTTAATTGATTTTATTGATTTAATGTTTAATTGATTTTTCCGGGTTAAATTCACAGCTAAAAATTTATTCCACATATTCCACACACTACAAGTCATTTTGCTGAAACAATTGTAGTAGCCATAATTTGTTAAATTACGGGGTCTTGTAAAACTGAAATTTTCCTTGGATTTTGTGGTTAAGGAAATTTTACAGATTCAGCAACAATTTTATTCTCCCAATTGGAAAATAGCGGGAATTACTTTTCACGTCATTGGCGAAATTGAGGATGAGATTCTTCATTGCCCCTTGATCGTTGAGGTAATCGCTGCTAAGGTCCGTAACAAGTCTAGATGCCATCTCGGTGTAACAGGGTATTTTGGTTATTTGGATTCCACAGTTTAGCAAATTTTTCACATATTCCTGAATTATTGACTCAAACTGGTTAGCAGTGTAACTCCCAGAGATTAGAATTTTCTTCACGTCATACTCTGAAATGTTAAACTTTAAATTAATTCAGCCTCGGGGTTCTAATTAAGTACATACTTTGAACGCATATGTATATGTATGTATGCTGCTGGAGAGTGTTGTTTGTTTCATGATAAAAAACGTAAATTGTACACTCAAAATAATTTGGTAGTGAGCTTCACCGTGCGGAGTTACTATCTATGATGCTCTACCCTGCTTGGTAACGATTGTCGCAGAATGAGTAACAGCAATTTCTGGGAAATTCAATTTTGTCATCGGTTGGTAAAAATGTTCTATCCAAACAGCAACGAATTTGAATTTCGCAGGAATTCTTATTCTTGGCGCCAAATATGAGTTTAACACGGAAATATGAATGGATCTTTCATCTAGGGTCCCAGTAGATTCTAAAAAACATAGTGGGTACCCTGGACACGCCGGGCACCTCGGAAGGTTCCCTAGTAAGATAACTAAAAAAATAAGATAACGATAATCGCTTAATCTAAATGCACAAGTTCATACATATGTGTTGAAACCCTGTGTATACGTACATAGGGTTCAGGACGGAAGCTCTAACGCTGGCATGCGTTCGCATATGCGTATGAAAATCGGATCAAATATCACGAGTCGCATAGGTGATAGTGTCAGATTATGTAGGTGATCATTTTAAAATTGTGCCCGCCAATTGCGACGCTATTTCTTAAGCTCCCCCAAAATATGAAGTTTTAACATCAATAAAATATCCGTACTCATAATATTTATAATTTCTTCTGTTTCCAGTTTGGTGAAAGGTATTTAAGTTCTCAGACTGATCGGTATCGAGAGATATACTTTCAGCTTGGCTGGGATAATGAAATTTTTTACAAAATGTGACATATCATCAGAAGATCACTTTTATCGTTTCGCGCACATCTTGCCCCTTGTAATAAATTAATCACGGCAAGAAAGTGATTTTTTGGATTGATTTGGCTCAGCAGGATATTCAAGAACTTCACCGCTAACTCACAGGCCACATCGCCTCTTAGGGTGGGGTTTTAGAATTTCGAATATTATTTCACCTGACTAAAATATTCATACTTCAGTTTACATTACGATTTTGTATAAATAATTAACCCTTTTAATTTTGGGATTCAACTTCTTCTAATTCTAAAAGGAACTTTGGCCTATTTAAAATTAAGCATTCACTTCACTTAAGCTTTTTTGGGGTTAGTACAACGATACATACCAATTATGAAAAAGTTTAAATGTAAATACCAAATACCTAAATACTAAATACCAGCTTATTCGTATACATCTACATTTACTGATTTATTTCTTTAATCTTTTAAGAAAATTGTAGGTAGAGGTATCAATTATTTGAAATTCGACTATTTGAAACACATTTTTACACCAGATGTAATAACATAATGTTGCCTAATATTATGTATGAATACTATAAGATATATATGATTTTCAATATAATAAAGTAGTTCCTTCAACGGTTAATGTAAACTATTTTTTTTGGTCTTCATTAAAAATTTTTCTTTTCGATTGTGAGACAAAATAACTCGTAATTTACTCGGTCGAACCGTAGTTCTAGTTCTTACATTAATTCTACGTCTCATTCTCTTTTGGCTCCTGAACAGGGGTGGGCAAGCCGGGAATTTTCACGGTGCGCATATCGCCATATATGTCTTGCCCAGGTAAACATTTACCGTCGTTTACATTTACATTTACCGTCATTTACAGTAAAATTTTCACAATTTTATTAAATCTTGCCCCAACTAATCTCACCCAGTTCTCAATATTTGCCCTATTTTATTTCGCA